TATATATATATATATATATATATATATATATATATATATATATATATATATATATATAACAATAAACATGTTAAAGCAACATAAATTGATAAGTGTTGTTTAGTAGAAAATCTTACAATATTTGCAAAGCTGCTAGCAGTGCAGCGAAAATCACTTACTAGATGCTTCTTCTGTAGCTATTTAAAATATTTAATTCAGGCAGCATATTGCTAATGTTTTTATGACCATGACTAGAATAAGTTACATAAAATTGAATGCTAATTCTGTAAGTGTTCGATGATATTACATTATATACTGTAACATAAATTCTGTTTATGTGTAAAAACGTTAACTGTATTAACTGTATTATTAAGGTATTAACTGCACTATCTTTCTAAGGTTACGTTTCAAAATACACTGTTATTACTGAAAATCTATAGTATACATAATGTAAACTATAAAGTTTAATGCTGGTAGTGAATTTCAAAATGCAGCAAAATGCATTGCTTATATATAATAGCTTGCATATAATAGCATTTAATAATTTCATTCAGAAAATATTTTAGTTGAATGAAGACTCAGTTTTTCATTGTTTATTAGTAAATTCAACCATTTGTAGCAGGTTAGTGCACATTAAATTCTAAATATTTTGACGATAAAATAATTTATATGTATTTATTTATATAGTTTAAAATAATTTATATGTATTTATTTATATAGTTATTTATATGTATTATTTTGCTAAACAACGGGACAATATCATGATTATTATTAGATGTTTAATTACTCAAATTTTTCATATGTATTCTTATTTAAATAACTGCTTTATATCTTTGAGCATGTAACAACTGAATGTAGTGCAAGTGATTAAATTTGTTATATGACTGAAAATTATCTTTTCATATATACTAATTCTATAATAGATATTTAGTTATTTAGTTCAATAACTTTCGAGATCAATTTTGCAAAATTCTTGTTACGTTTCTACTTCTTTTCTTTTAACCCTTATATAACATAATATTTATAGCTCATTATATATATATATATATATATATATATATATATATATATATATAT